AGGGCGGTCTCAATAAGGTTAATTCATATGATATTTAACTTAAAAAGGGGCCATTGTTTTGCACCAAGTCTTTGCCAGTCTCTTGTCGACAGATGGTCACTTAACAGAGGGACACGTGGCAAAGTTTGAAGGAAGTCCACACTTGAAAGTGGGCTCTCTGCATGGTTCACCTAGAAGTGATGGGGGAATTTTTAGCACCAGTCATGGAGTTAGTGGGCCACACTTTCAGGAGGAAGGCATGAGACAAGCAGGAGCCTTGCTCTGTCGACAGAAGTTTAAACAGTTGGTGTCATGAAATAAACACAAGAAAAGGAGACACAGAGAATGGAGATTAGGCATACTTGGACAAGCCTAGGAAGGAGATCGTTTGGTTGATATCTGGTATACCGTTTTCTGTGACCCATCATTGCATGATCCCACACGTCTACACCATAACGTGCCGCTGTACTGCCCCCTGACTATTCGGAATCGTCAAGGTCCACTCTGCCAAATATGACTCTTTGCCTGCCGACCTTCCTTTTCACCATTAGTGGGGCATGTCCCTTATCAATTATGAGTTAGTGGGGCACACTTTCAAGAGGAAAGCATGAGACAAAAGCAGGAGCCTGCTCTATCGACAGAAGTTTGAACAGTTGGTGGCCTTGAATAACACAAGAAAAGGAGATCGACAGATAAAAGTTGGAGGTTTAGGTATAACTTCGGAAAGTTCTAGAAGGAAGATTGTTGGTTTCCGATATCTGTATACTGTTTATTTGGCACATCATTGCATGATCCCACACGTCTACACCATAAACTGCCCGCTGCCTTCGAACTTCAAGTCCACTCTGCCAAATATTGACTCTTCCCTGTCGACCTTCCTTTTCACCATTGTGGGGATGTCCCTCATCATTATGAGGACAAAAATCGATAGAATATTGTCCACTAAAACACAACTACAATCCTTGCAAACTAGGCCACTGAACACAACACTTGCGCCACTCACTGTTACTGCCCCCTGACTTTGAAATCATCAAACTCTGGCAAATATTGAATTTTCCCTGAATTTAATCCAAATATATTCAATGTCGCGTAAACTTGAAAATATGTTTGAAAAACCTTTTCTGTAATTTAATGGACTTAAACACAATTATGTCCTACATTTTACGTAACCAAAATACACAACTTATTTATATCAAAAACAAAATATACGTCTCGGGTTTATAATCAAAAAAAATGGAAACTACTTTTTTTTTTTTTTATAAAAAGTTCACTCATATTTTCAGCTAAAATTATGATTGGTTATTTTTAAAAATTCATCTTTGCACCTATTTTCCCATATCCTGCCCAACAGCTGCACCATTCAATTGAGGACACATGACAAGTCTACCTGAAGACTAAAGGTTATCAACTAACATTGAATCTTGCATGCACCTGATTTACACGCTGGAGCAGTTACTGGCAGTGCTCATGGATTTAGTGGCTAGCCTGCAAGAGAAACGTGAACAAATTAGGAGTCTGTATCTGTCGAGGAAAGGCTAAAAGACTTGGGCACAGGTGGCAACTTTTCAATTATATGCACTTCGACAGGTACAAGTGAAGGTTTTATGTCGGTTTCAAGACATAGAAATGACCGTGCAGTTACAAAAGTTGCACAGAAGCAGTAGCAGATCATGGGGTTGTGGGAAATAATAGCTATAAAAGGGCAAAATGTTTGCAGAGAGAGAGGACATGAACAACAACACAACAACTTACTTTCTTACATTGCATACTTCTGAGTAGTTTTTTCCCTTCTACTTTCTACTTTGTTACAAACAAACAAACGCACACAACAACTACTTTACTTTTTACTTTGTACTTGTTACTTTCTACTGTTACCATCTGTTCATCGAAAGAAGTCTTCATCCTTTCAGGCATTCGACCAATACCACATTGCTTGATTTCTTTCTTTAACTTGTTACCGTTAAATACTGCCTCGTTTTCTAGTCGTTAGGTGTCTGAACTTCATAACTACTTGATCTAACATCTAGATACAAGAATAATTCACTGATTAACTGAATCAAACGTTAATCATATGCAATCATGTATGATGATCAAAGTAACGCCGTTCTTGGTTACTCTCTCAAGTAACACCAATACACTTCATTTCGGAATTATATACAAAGCATGTGTGGATTTGTCAATTTGCAAATCCCACATGGACTAAAATTACGTATGTTTTACTCCAACCTATAATACTATAATTTACGAGAACATATCATATTACACCTCAAATACGAAGCCACCACAAGCATTCGTTACGTTACAATAAACCACACCGCAAAACCCTGTCGAGTTAGATCAAACCAAAGATGGTAAAGCATGAAACGAAACTTAACTCGCCCAATAAGAACTCTTGAGAGTATACAAGACATACAGCCAATGCATGGCGGACGTAACTCAACCCACAGACAAAATTAACGTCAATTACATCAAAAGCTAACATACACACCACAATATCGCACAAACTAATACTCAGTATAACAATTAGTATGGAAGATTGTAGCAACTCGTGGCACTTGTACATTATAGGAGATAAACTGTAGACTGCCCAAAACATATGCTTGACATGTAGTGCGTCATAACAATGTAATACACTACGATAACATAGGGGAGCACAATCTCGTAGCAAAATGAAACAACTACGATACATTAATTACATTGTGTTTTACAGATCAGCTAGACGTCATACCTAATAGATGAAGGGAATAAGTAATCATACAAGTGGTGTACAATTACCTAGATTCCACCTCTAATTGGTCGAAATACAGTCAAGCACGACTGTGCCAACACTACATATTGCCCACGGGCTGCTTGTGTAGTCACGAGGAAGCATCGTAAACAGAGATGGTCGCCGTGTGATTGA